ATAGCGGACTGAAGTATTCCATTTTCATACTTCATGTAATACAGATTAAAATATTGGTATGTGCAAAATTTGATGAAAATCGAACATTTTTATGCAATTTTATGCGAAATCATAAATTTCAATAAAATCCATACTCATCTGGTTAGGAGAAATATTTAGATATAGCAATTTGTAAAGGATCGCCAACTTATTTCGCAAGTTATGACACATCAAAGTATTGAAAATTGTGGGTTAGGTATCAAAAGGGATTCACAGATATATATCAGCCCAACAGATGCTGCGTTAACAAAAAATATTTGGATGTGTGAAATTTTGAAAGAATTGGATGCTAATCTCGCTTTCTTTGAGCGTTTTGTTTTTGAAAAATCTTTCTTGAACCCTTTACGGGAGAGGTAACAGAAGAAATATTCCGAACTCTTCCATATTTATAACAGATCTTGTGTTAATGAAAATATTGAAATTTACCAAGTCTGAATGGAATCGGATGTTAATTTCCCGTTTTATGAGTTTTTTACACTTTGTGGGGGAGGTATCAGAACGAGTGGACCCATATATCCCATCAACACACCAGACTTTGGATTAATAAAAATATTGTGATAGTACACACATCAAGTACATTAAAGAGAACCGTGTGCTTATTTCGCATTTTATGATCGTTTTTGTTATTTAAAACTTTAACCCTTTGTGGGGGAGGTACCAGAAGGATTGGTCCTATCTCTACCATATTTAAAACAGCTCTTGTGTTGATGGAAATATTGAGATGTGCCAAGTCTGCATGAAATTAGATGTAAATTTCGTGTCTTATGAGCTTCATGAATATTCAAAATTTTGACCCTTTATGAGGGAGGTACCAGAAGGAGTGGACCGATATATTCCATCTTCACACCAGACCTTGGACTAATAAAAATATTGTGATGTGTGTAATTTGAAAACAATCGGACACCTACATCACCTTTTATAAAAGTTATAATTATTCCAAATGTTAACCCTTTGTGGGGGAGGTACTTGATGGAGTTGGCCGATATTGTTCATTTTCGCACCTGAACAGGCACTGATGCAAATATTAGGATTTGTAAAGGTGGAGCCGAATCTAATTATCTTTCCTCTTTATGCATATAAGTCTAGAACCGCTGCACTGATTTTCACAATTCTCATCAATTCGGAATTATCTCTTGCCCGAAAAGGATAATATCTATGAAAATTGCGTAAAATATTCCAATGAAAAATTGAATATTTTTTGTAAAATTATTTGAATTTTTGCCATTTTTTATTGCCTGCGACCTCAAATGTTTCGTTCTCCACTTTAAACCATCGTCACGAGTCTTACACATAACTCCGAAATGCTCACTCGATTAGAGATTGCAACAAATACTGGAAATTAAAAACAAGAAAGAAAAAGTACTCACTTTCTACTGCAAGTTGCTCATTTTGGAGTGGAAGTACAATTTTTTGAAAATCTAGCAGATTATAATCTCACCGAACTCTCTTTTGGTTTTGGTAATTCCGTTCTTTATGTATCTATCCACAGCTGTAGACAGAACGAAAATAATTATGTTGAAGACCATTTCCGTCAATCTCCACCAACACACCATTTGATAGTGTAGTTCAGGGCAGGGTGGCACTTTTAAGGACGCTTGCCTGCATTTTCCTTATCCTGTTGTAATTGCTTATGTTGTTTTTTAACAATTGCTGTTTTTCTCTTCATGGCTTTGGTAAATTACTCAATCCCATTTAAAAGCAACAACTAAACTTGAACACTCAAATCACAAAAAATATGCTTCAACTCGATTTCGAGCATTTTGACTACCACACCAATTATTTTAAACAGGGATACTCGCGAGCGCTCCCGCATAAAACAAAAGATAGGGTGGTAAACATGTTATAATACTCTTACGAGCGCTTCCACATAAAACCAAAGAGAGGCTGTTAAACGTCTTGCAATACTCTTACTCTTCGAGCACTCCCGTTGACCAATTACAAACAAAACAATACTCTATTTTAAGAATATGTGTAGAGGTATTCTATCTGGAAAAGGTTTTTCAGTTTGAAAAATCATTCAAAGGACTTCCGAAAACTTTTTCTAAAAGGCTGGAGACGGTTATCAATCTATAGAAAACCTTGGAACGTTTCGGTAGCTTTTGGATATATGTTATGTTTAGATTACCTATAGGAAATCTATAGAAGCTTTTTTACCTATAGACGGTCTTTTAAGACTAGGTCCATTTGAAGACTTTAATTCAAGGGTAGTCTACTCGAAGACCCCTACTCCCAGAAGATCTAAGGAAATCAGTCATTTCTTAAACAGTTTATCAGAACTAGGGAGACCGAGAGAGAGATACACATAGAATAATTTATAGAGCTCGACGGAATTGGAAGTAGAATATTTTAAAGTTGGTTAAACATTTGAAAATTTTAATTTTTTATTTCTACATTTATTCTACAATTTCGATTTTATATTTTTCTATACAATATTATATTTCTTATATATTTTTATTATATTTATAATATATATTTATTTTAGTATAAAATCAAATCTAAAATGTTAATGAGAAATTAAAAAGAATTAGATATATAAAAATTAAATTAATTATATATTGCTTTGGTTTATTATAAATTTAAATTATCATAAAGTGAGTATGTATTTGTGTTCATTTATATATTTTATATAATTTAAATTATTAATTTTTTATGTAATTTTTATAATATTTAATGATAGAAATTAACCTAAACTATAAAATAAATAAAGACAAATTGAGATATATAAGTTGAAATTGTCATGTGCTTATAAATATGGGTTTAAAATTAGTTCTAATTAAAGAAATTTAACAAAATTCGAGTATATTTTACTAAAATAACTGTAAAAATAAACTAAAATAATTAAAAAAATATATTAGAAATTAAAATGATTAGATAAAAATTATAATATACAAACTAAAATTGGAGAAAAGCTAAGAGAGGCTCTAAGGCATATGAAAATCCAAAAAAAATTGTAAAGCATTCTTGGCTTTTGGGGCTCTGGTGGAACTCTTAATAGAAAAGTCTGGAAAAAACCAATCAGTCGAGTCACTGGGGAAACTCGTCTCGGAACTCTACAAATCTCATCAACCAAACCAGGGCTAGGCTTAGTCAAAAGTTCTAGAATTTGTGGATATAAGAAAACTCAATCAAGATTTACTCTGGATTATATAACCTCGTTACAAATTTATTATTCCACAAAATATGGAAACAAAAACAGTTGAAAGCTCAATAGGCCGAGGTATAATCAAATCCAAGGAATCTTCAAAAGCCACTAGACATTTTGGGGGTCTTGCCTAAATTCCGGGAGGTGATTCTAAAATGCCGACTAATTTTTAATCCTTCTTGTCCTGAGGGGTTTCAATTTACTTTTGAACTTGTAGCCTCGTCTTGCCCTTGTATATAGAAAATGGCGAAATGGCTTAATGAAAACCCCAAGAGCCTGAGAAAGACCGTGTGCTTAAGACTCTTGAAATTGTGGGCTCTTGTAGAACTTTAAGAAGTGTTTCTAGCGACACCAATTAATTTTCGACTACATGTTTCACGAGGAGCTGTAAAACCAGAGATACTAACCTGGATAAACCCTAAACGCTGGAACCCAGATAAGAAATGATCCTTCCTTAAAATATAAATCTAAAAAGTGGGGTCTTGGCTTAGTCGAAATATCCAGAGTCTGAGGAAGGTCCTGGGCATAATAAAATTCAATGACATCTCAATTGTTCGAAAAACTCTCAAGGGTAAGACCATTTAGTTCCAGACTCTGATAAAAGAATTCTTCCTAAAAAAATCAGGGATTGACCTAGTTGAAGCCCCAATATATGGAGAACTAATTCCTAGAAAATTTAGTAAAGTCTAAAAAATAGAGCGGTTGGGCGTGGGTACTCTCTTAGAATTCAAGATGTAATTCTGGAGACTCTCAGGATTCTTCCAATTTTTTTTCTCAAAAATATACCAAAAAATCAGGCATCTGAGGATGGTCCTGGTCATAATAAATTTCAATCACGTCTCAAATGTTCGCAAAACTCTCAAGATGTAATTCAGTACAGAAAAATTAATTAATTCTAATAAATAATTCTTCCCTAAAAAATTAGGGTTTGACCTAGTTGAAATCCCAAGATCTGGAGAACCAATTCTTAGAAAAATCAGTAAAGACTTTAGGTGGGGACTCTCTTAAAATTCAAGAGGTGATTCTGAAGACTCTCAGGATTCTTCCCACTTTTTTCCCCAAAAATGTACCAAAAAATCAGGGATCGGTCAAATCGAAACCTCATGGATCATTGAGGCCAAGATATAATAAAGCTTTAATAAAGCCTCAATGAATTATTGGTGTTCGAGGCTCTAGTAGGGTTCCTATGAGGTAATTCTAGATACCCCAATTAATTTTTGCCTCCATAGCCCCAAAGAGCTGAACATAGGAAAGAGCATTTAACTCAGGACTCTATGAAACTCCCCTTAAGGATTCTTAAGGGGTAAATCTAAAAATAGCTCCCTGGAGAAAATACTCTGAAGCTACCATAAAACTCGAACCTCTATAGACCTGCTAAAAAGTCATGCCTCCCAAAAAAAATCGCAAATCAAAATTAAGAGCTTGGTCAAGTCGAGTCCCCAAGGGTCGAAAAAATGCCAAAGCATAAAAAAGTATCTAAAAATCCTTGATTTTCAAGAATCCCTTAAAAGAGCCTTAGCTCTCTCTGAGTTGCATAAACAACTTCTTGTCCCTAATCCCGATCTTGAAAAAAATCTCTTCCCTTGCATAGATATTGCTTATAATTTCCCTGTTTCTAAGTTTCTAATAGATTTTTGTTTTCGTAATTTTTTTTGTTGGTTTTGTCGTTTTTTTTCTTCTTTTTTTGTTGTTGCTGTTGTTGTTCATATCAGGCTGCTTAGTAGCTAATGAGGCTTTGTATTTTTTTTTGTTTTTTTTTGGAATTTTTTTCTTTCGTTAAATATATAAACATGTTTGCTGCTTTACTAATGCGTTTGAATTGTTGCTTTTTTGTTGTTGTTGTTAGTTTTGCTGCTGCGGCTGATGATGCTAATGATGTTGTTGTTGTTGTTTTTTTTTGTTGCTGCTGTTGTATTTCAATAGATTTATCCTAAAGGTAATGCCAATGAAGGTGATGCTGAGGATGATGAAAGTTAAGTGAACTAATTGATGATCAGTAGCGCTAGCTCTATCATAGGAAGTAGAGGGTGTAGGGAGGAGTAGGAGGGATAGATATATTTTCACAGTGTGGCCCGCCGTACACCACAGACACTGATGGCCAGCAGCTGTTTGTGATACTGATACAGCTGCAGTGTTGGTGTCGACGCCGACGAAAGCTTTTCTCAGTGTCATGGAGTATTGCCCTCGAATAAAGCACGAAATTCGCCACTTCTGGGACGGGGTAGACCTTCTCGTATGGTTTGTATGGGCTCTGTTATGCTAGACATGGAACCATGCAATAAATTCTCTTTAGCGTCGATGTCACTAGAATACCAAAACAAAGAGAACACATTAGATTAGGAACAGAGAGAGAGAGAGAGCTAATTTAATTCCTTGCAATACTCACTCATCTTTACAATCATCCGCCTCGGCTGCCAACGCATTGACCACCGCCGTTATTTGATTTGACTCAGGATTACTTAGCTGCTCATCCTTCTGCTGCATTATATTGGGATTTTTGCCAATTTTGTTGAGACGTTCCGCCGCCACCGTTTCCATGGTCTTGCGCATCAGCGGATACTGATCCAGCACACAGTTGAAATGATCCACACTCAGTGAGAAGAGATTGCAGTATGTTTCGGCGCGTACACTGGCCACACGTCGGGCATTTGTCAGCAGGCAAATTTCACCAAAATATGAACCATCGGATAACGATGTTGCCACCTGTTTTGGGGAAGGAAGAGAGAGATAATGTTAAAAGCTATAGGATGAAAGGTTTTTACGAAGTTGCATTGGTAGACCAAAAACAAAAGGACCTTCTCAGACCCTCCTATTGAAGATTTTTCCAAGGTATTTTTCATACCTTTCCAAGAACTTTTATGTATTGTCTCTGTTGATCAGAAACCTACTGTAAGCCAAGAATATATAAAATATTTCAAACAGGTTTTTCATGGACCGAAGGCTTTCTATTGATATAAGACGTTTCCAGGTTCTATATAACTAAAATATCTTCTCCATTAGCTATTTGGGTCCTTTAAGGACTTTTGGTTATACAAATGAAGGTCATGGAAAGATATTTGTTTGTATTAGATGAATCCTCTAAATAGAGGACCATCGGAGCTATATTATATAATGGCTTTGCATAAGATCGCCGATAGGTATCTTCTACATTACTTATAGAAGGTCTTATAAAACTCTACGGTGTCATCTGTGGATAGAACATGTCATACGACTTTTAAGATAAGAAGCGAGTAGTAGAGGACTTCTTAAAGAAAATGGTCCTCCACTTCTATAGAAAATATCAAATCCAGCTATCTCAGGTCTGAATGGAAAACTCTATGGATACTCCCTTAATAGAAGATCTATTGTCTGATCATCTGCAGAACTTTTTTATCACCATTTTTAATTTCTTAGATATTTTATGGGAGACCTTCTGCAGTTTTTTCATAATTACAAGACCCTCAATTTATTTTTTTAATAGTAAACGGGTTTCAAGTATTCTATAGGCAGAATGTCGTTTCCACTTCTTTTAAAGATAGAAAGTTTTCCATACATAGAAGATCTCTTAAAGGTTTTTCAAACAAAAGAACCGCTTGAAGGCCTCTTGAGTTTTTACAAAGCAAGAACATTTTGTTAATGTCTTTTATAATCAGAAGGACTTTTGGAGCAGGGACGTACACAGTGGGGAGAGGCACTGGATTTTCCTTTAAAAATAATAGACACTTCTATGGTATTCTTCAGTCCTTCCTAATTCGAGTAACTTCTACAAATAATCCTCAAGGTCTTCCAAAGATAGAAGATTTTTTGACATTTTTCTGAGATTTTCGAGTGGGAGATAAAATCTTCTCCAGATGTTCTTCCGATAAAAGACCTTGTCATATCCTTTATAGAAAGAGTACGTCCCTCTGAGGGTAATAGATGTCTCCTATGGCATTGTTCAGGCCTTTTTTATTTAAAGAATCTTGTCAAGTATTATAGAACTTCTTGAGGATATTTTCTTGGTTGAAAATTATCCCAAGATCTTTTCAGGATGAGGGAATTATTCTTTAGATAGAATATCTCCCCATGTCATTTATGATAAGTGTATGCCATCGAAAGATGATAGACGTTCCCTAGCTTCCTCTTTTCTACATATAGAAGACCTCTTCTATGACCTTTACAAAAAGATAGAACTTTTCCACCCAGACGACTTTTTTCAGGTCTTCTTGAAATGTGAGACCTTAAAGTCAACCATATCTAGAATACATTCTTAAAATTTCCCTCAGACAGAAGAGCTACTCGAAGTCTTCTAATTATAATCGAGGTCTTTTGGAGGTTTCCCATGGCTGGAAGAGATACTTCACATTGTCCACGTTTAGAAGACATGATCGTTCGCTATAGATAACAGATGGGTTCCTCTGGAGAATAGGCATGAAATCTTCTTTTCAAGTCATCTAGAAGTTCTCCAGGTCTGCAGTAGATTTTTATAAATTAATTATAATGAGGTCTTTTGGAGGTTTCCCATAGCTAGAAGAGATACTTCATATCATCTACGTTTAGAAGACTCGAACGTTCGCTATAGATAACAGATGGGTTCCTCTGGAGAATAGGCATGAGATCTTCTTGAGGACGTCTGTATCCAAAGTTCTTTTCAAGTCATCTAGAAGTTCTCCAGGTCTATTGGTAGATTTTTATAAATTAATAAGATTATCGAGATTTTTGAGAGAACTCAACAATTTTGATAAATAGAAAACCCTGTCCAGGTATTCTCCAATTAGAAGCCTTCCCCCTCAATTTTCTCTTTTAGAAATAAAAGAACGTCTTTCATAGCTTAAATAGCTAACCAGAATACCTTTTCCGGCTAACCAGAATACCTTTTCCGGAGAAGGCCTTCTCCAGGTCTCCCAGATCATTCAAAGTCTTCCATAGACCTTCAGGAGCTCCTTCGGCAGCAAACAATGCTTCTACATACATATGCGGATCTTGTGACTTTTTAAAGTAAGAAGACATTTCTTTTTTCTCTTCTTTTTCTTTTTCTTTTTTTCCGGTCTCTTAGAGATAAGAACAAGTACCCTTTATACCCTACACCACAAGGTGGTCAGGGTAATATGTCTTTGTGCATTTGTTTGTAACAGGCAAAAGGAAACGAGATAGACTCATAGTTCCTTTTGATGATCTGCGTAGAATCACATTCTGAGTCGATTTATGCATGTCCGTCTGTCCATGTATTCTTGTGAACAAAATGCAGGTCGCATTTATTATCCGATTGAGATGAAATTTTGCACAAATCATTTGTTTGGCCCAACGACGAACCCTATTGATATTGGAGATAATCGGTAAAAATTTAGATATAGCTTCCATATATATCTTCGTCCGATTTGCCTTTTATTGTGCACCAAACGTGTAATATCTGCCCAATTTGTATAGAATTTTGCACATACGATCAAATTAGGTCTGAAAATAAGTATGCCAAATTTGATCGAAATCGGTTCAGATATAGCTATAGCTCCCATATATATTATTCATCCGATTTGTTATTTCTGTCTTCCACAGCCGTAATATGCACTCTGTAACAACGATATTTGGGGAAATATATCAAATACAGCTCAGAAATATATTTGCCAAATTGTATCGAGATCGGTTCAGATTTGGATATAGCTTCGTCCGAATTGCCTTTAATTGTGCACCAAACATATAATATTAGCCCAAATGGGATGGAATTTGGCACTAATGACCGAATTGAGTCTAGAAGCTAGTATGCCAAATTTGAGATTGGTTCAGATATAGCTATAGCTCCCATATATATTGTTCTTCCGATTTGTTGTATTTGTTACCCACAGCCGTAATATGCACTCCGTAAGAACGATATTCAGGGAAATATATCAAATACAGCTCAGAAATATCTTTGCCAAATTTTATCGAGATCGCTTCAGATTTGGATATAGCTTCCATATATATTTTTATCCGATTTCATGTTAATTGTGCACCAAATGGACAATACAAGCCCGAATTGAAAAGATACAAATTCATCGGCATATTTAGTCCTTTGAACTTTAAATTATAATTACAATCATAGCTTGTATGATTTAATTCTCCCATAAAAACGTTTAATTGTTATGTGAAGCTTTACTGAATATCCAAAGTCGGTACCGTAAGGCTTTCTTTACTGGTTTTGTTTTATTTAAATATAAGGCCATTATATCTTTTATGGGGAAATGATTTTTTTGAAGCTATCCATAGCTATTCATAGTTAGTTTTGTCAATAAAAAGACCTTTCCAGAGTTTTGAGAGAAAAAGACCAGATCTCGTATTGTTAGTAGGTACCTTCTAGGGGTTATATGGACCTTATTAATATCATTTTTAGACAGAACTCTGATAAAGGTTGGACATTTAAAAGAAAGATGGATTTCATTATTCAACTTACCTCTCCATTGGCCATAACAATATCGACCACACCTTCTTGTATAAAATACATTTTGGTACCGATTGTACCCTCCTTTATAATAATATCACCTGAGGGAGAGAGAGAAAATTTAGTATAAAATTTAAATCCTCTCTTTGGAATGCCTTACCTGGTTGAAATACTTCGTATTTAAGTTTTGTAACGACATCGGAAACGAAATTGGAGTCAGCATTTGCAAAAAAAGGCACTGACGCAACGAGAGATCTGGTGGGGGTGAAAATTTAAAATTTGGATATTATTAGTCATGGCTTATTTAAGTAAATAATTAATTTATTTATACAATTATTTATGTATTTATTTATTGTATTAACATCTTTGTATCATTCATAATTGTTGTTTATTTCTTAATTTGTTAATCATTTTTATACCCTCCACCATAGTATGGAGGATATATTAAGTATAATGGGTCATGTGGGTTTACGTTTTTTCGATATGTTGATGATTTAAGCGACAATATTTACCGGAAATGTTTCAAATTTGGTATTTGAAGTTTGTAATAGGTACTACAGCCTATGACAGAAAATTGTCTGTGCAGGTCCACGTTTTCGTATAGCCCCATATTACGGTACCTCCCGATATTCGGTATTTTGATGAATTTAGCGACGTTATTCACCGGAATTGTTTCAAATTTGGTATTTGAAGTTCATAATGGGTACTACAGACTATGACAGAAAATTGTCCACGTCTTCGTATAGCCCCCATATAACGGTACCCCCCAGTTATTTGGTATTTTGACGATTTTAGCGACATTCTTTACCGGAAATGTTTCAAATTTGGTATTTGAAGTTCATAATGGGTACTACAGACTATGACAGAAAATTGTCTGTGCTGGTCCACGTCTTCTTATCGCCCCTATATAACGGTACTACCAGATATTTGGTATTATGATGATTTTAGCGACATTATCCAGCGGAATTGAAAAAATACGAAAAATTCGTATAGACCCTAAATAACTGCTAAATTCGGTATTTTTAAGATTTTAGAATTTTTAACGGATTTATATTTTGTTTTTATTTATTTTTTTTAAAATTGCCAAATTCTTTCCAAATAGTGGAGAGTATTCGGCCAGACCGAACTTAAATAATTAATTTATTCAATATACGAAAAAAATATAAATAATTAAAATAAATAATAAATAAAATACATTTAAAAAAACGAATAAATAATGAGAATAATTCATAATAACTTAATTAAGTTTTTTTTGTCATTTACCTGCAATTATAATTGATAACATCCTCTCGCAGCTTTTCGCTCAATTCGCCCAGAATACACTCTTCATCGAAGAATTTACCCTGATAACGATGTTCGAAATATTCCGTTATTCGTTGACGCATATCACGCGGCAGCTTACGATATGCCATATACTCTTCGACCTGTTTGACCTTCTCGCGATACTGACGTCGACTCGAGTCCAAACTCTGGATAAGATTAGTGGCATGACCCAGGAACAGAGCATAACAGGTGGCGCCCGATATCATCGATAACATTGTTAACCACATATCGGTCAGGGACTGGGGAGGAAATCTAAGGGCATAACAAAAACGCGAATTGAGTTCTTTGGAGGTTCTCTCTCCCTCTTTCGTTTTTCTCTTTGAGACTTACCTGCCATAACCTATGCATAGCATATGTGACATGGCTTTGAATAAAGCCCATGAATATTGTTCCAGCCAATATGACTCCTGGTGGTGGGGTGGAAATTGTGATATGTTAAAATTTGAATTTTGATTTTTTAAAAATTTATTTATAAAATGAAAATAATTTAAGTTTTTCTTTTAACTACCTGTAATTCGTTTATCGACACCCATGAGTTCGAGGGAAACCCTTGTAACATTGGCACTAAAAATTGCAAACAACCACTCCAATGGCCGATCAACAACATCATACAAATCAAATTGAAAATTCGCATAAAGACCGAAGCCATATTCAGAAACTGTAAAAGAATGTTTTTTTTTTTTGGAATTTGTAACAAAAAACGGAAAAAAAGAAGAAAAAAAAAAAAAAAAAAAAAAAAAAAAACAAAACAAACATCCAATCATATCAGATTTGATTTGTAAATATATATGGTTAATGCAAACATTTAGATTGAGAGATGATTGAAAATTTGTTGGTTTTTTCTTTTGTATATTTTTTTTTTTTGAGAAAACAAACACATTTACATTGTTTTCATTTCATGGATACCAGGGCAAAGGTTTCAATATAGGGGGGAAAAATTATTTTACTCTTATATTTATTTATTCTGGAAATTTTTTTTAAAAAATTGCATTTAAATTTAAGCAGTATTTTAAATAGTTTTAAAAAATGTTTCTAAAAATTTGGTTTGAAAAATAAAATCCGAAAACATGTCTGAATTTTAATGAAAAATAAGCCACTCAAGGGAAGCCCTACAGAAATTCCCTCAAAGAAGTGGAGTAAAATCCTTCAAGAAATATTTTAAAGTCAGAAGACTATCCAGATATAGATAGGAGGGTCATCCATATATAAATAACCTCCACGAAAATCTTCGATAAACGCAAGAGCTTTAGGGATCTTTCATACACGGAATCCATTCAAAGGTAGTTTTTAGGAAGGAGGATATTCTATAAATAAAATACCTTCAACCAAAAAAAGACCTTTCCTATCCAAGATGTCTGGACGATGTCCGTCCGTCTGTGGAAATCACTCTAGCTTCCGAACGAAAGGAAGTAGGTTGATACTCAAATGTGTATTATGTCTGCAGGACTTTTGGTATTGAAAATGGGTCATGTAGGTCCACGTTTTGGTATAGCCCCCGATATTCGGTATTTTGATGATTTTCGCGACATTATTTACCGGAATTGTTTCAAATTTGGTGTTTGAAGTTCGTAATGAATACTACATTCTAAGACAGAAATTTGTCTGTGCAGGTCCACGTCTTCGTATATCTCCCAAATAACGGTACCTCCCGATATTCGGTATTTTGATGATTTTAGCGACATTATTCACCAAATTTTTTACTCATGTTTCGCATTTGATTATTGTAATGGTTTATGACAAAAATTGCCTATTGCAGGTCTACGTCGTCGTATAGATCCTAATATAACGGCTACATTCGGTATTTTTAGGATGTTAACAGAATTGTTAACGGATTTTGTTTTTTGAAAATTGCCAAAATCAAAGATCGGCCCGGCCGAACTTACAGCTTGTTTGTATAGTCATTCTTATACCCTACACCATATAGTGGTAAGGGTATTATGTCTTTGTGCATTTGTTTGTAACATGGAGAAGGAAGTAAGATAGACCCATAGTTACTTTTGAGAATCTTCATAGAATCACTTTTCTTTGATATTTGGTACCAGATATCAGATACACCCCAGACATACCTCTGCCCAATTTTATCAAGATCGGTTCAGATTTGGATATAGCTCCCATATATATCTTCAACCGATTTCGGGTTAATTGTACACCAAATGGCCAAAATCAGTCCAATTGACCTGAATTTTGGCACATCCGACCGACTTCAGTCTAGAAGCAAGTACATACAATTTGGAGAAAATCGGTTCAGATATAGCTTTAGCTTCCATGTATATTTTTCATCGGATTTGATGTTTAAGTTACTCACATTCGGAATATGCACCCCATATGAATGATTTTTGGTACCAGACATCCGATACAGCTCAGAAATACCTCTGCCAAATTTTATCGGTTCAGATTTGGATATAGCTCCCATATATATCTTAAACCGATTTTAGGTTAATTGTGCACCAAATGACCAATATCAGTCCAAAGGACCTGAATTGTGGCACATCCGACCGACTTCAGTCTAGAAGCAAGTACATAAAATTAGGAGAAAATCGGTTCAGATGTAGCTTTAGCTCCCATATATATGTTTCGTCGGACTTGATGTTGAAGTCCCTCGTAATATGCATTCGACAACAGTGATATTTGGTACCAGATATCTTATAGAGATCGGAAATACCTTTGCCAAATTTTATCGAGATCAGCTAAGATTTGGATACAGCTCCCATATATATCCTTAACCGGTTTCAGGTTTATTGTGCAAATAATGGCTAATATCAGCCCAAATCGAGTGAGTTTCGGGACGTACGTTTCCATTTATATATTAAGTTTGTCATTCCGTTTGTAACACCTCCGAACGAAATGAAGTAGGTTGATGAAATTTTACTCAAATATGTCTACAGGACTTTTGGTATTGAAAATGGGTCATGTAGGTCCACGTCTTGGTATAGACCCCATATAATGGTACCTCCCTATTTTCGGTATTTGGGTGATTTACACGATATTATTCAGCGGAATTGTTTTTAATTTGGTATTTGAAGTTCGTATTGGATACTACAGCCTATGACAGAAAATTGTTCGTACAGGTCCACTCCTTCGTATAACCCCCATATAACGGAACCTCCCGATATTCGGTATTTTGATGATTTTAGCGACATCTTTCACCCGAATTGTTTCAAATTTCGTATTCGAAGTTTGTAATGGGCTCTACAGCTTATGCCTAAAAATTTCATATGAAGTTTCACGCCTTCGTATAGCCCCCATATAACTGTATCTCCCGATATTCGGTATTTTGATAATTTTAGGGACATCATTCATCCGAATTGTTTTAATTTTCGGGTAGTACCGCCTATGACAAAAAATTTCTTATGAAATTCCACGCCTTCACATAACCCCCATATATCTCTACTTTCCTTTATTCGGTATTTTGATGATTTTAGCGACATTATTCGCCGGAATGGTTTAAAATTTCGTATTTGAAGATTTTAATGGGTACTACAGCCTATTACAATAAATTACTTACTTACTGCCGGTCCACGTCTTCGTATAGCCCCCGTACAAAGGTTATCATTTAAATGGTATTTTTGAATTTTTCAGGTTCCTTCCATGGAGGGTATTATAAGTTTGGCCCGAACAAAATTAGCTGTTTTTTACTTTTTAAATTTTGAGACATTTCTTCTCAATTTTACTTTTTTTTTAATTTTAAGTTTTAAATAGTATTTTTTGTTTTTGTTAATTTCCTTGCCATATTGAAACCTTTACCCATTTTTTTTGTTCCGTATTCGGAACACATGAATGAAATTATGAGTTATAGAAATACAACATATTTTATATATATTTGTTTTTTTTTTTTTTTAATTCAAAGCAAATTTGTGTGTTGAAGTGTGTTGGAGTAAACACAACATCCAAGTTGTTTGGTTGTAACATAAAACTTTTTGTTGCTTTTGTTGCTGTTTTTTTTATTCAGATACATGAACAAAACACTACACCAAGTAAATAGAACAATTGTGTGTCGTAAAAAAACAATTGTTTGTTTTGAGTTTGAGATTAAATATAAATATAAAACTAAATAAATATTTGAATACAAACAAATAATATAAAAACATAAAATAAAAATATAAACAAATACACCAACACAATACACAATGAAAAAGTAAATAAATACAACTTAAAAAATATTGTTTTTTTTTGCAAAGTAATTTTTATACAACAAACAAATATTAGACGCTGCCGCCACTCAATGTTAATTTCAAAGAAAAAAAAAACTCATACAAACAAATACACACACGCACACAAATATACAAACAGGAATTCATTTTAGTTTTTGGAAATTGCAATTCAAAACGTACCAACAATAAAAGGAAACCAAACGAAACGTAGAAAAATCAACACAACAAATAACGAAAAACCAGCTACGTTGTTTTTTTTTTCATTTATACAACTTTTTTTGTTGTTTGCATTTCTTTTTTGGACGGTTTAGTTTGGAAAATAAAAACAAAGCATACAATTAATTGCAAGTTTCTATTAATTATTTTTTATTAATTTTTTTATTAACAAAATTAAGCCATAGCCAATTTTCTTTGGCAGGGGGGAAAAAGGTAACTAAAACATTAAACAAAACTAAAAAAATTGTAAAGAAAAGTCATTCGATGGGAAAACGGATGTTGAAAAGGAAGACCTATGCGAACTTGTTTATAAGAAATAAGATCTCCGAAAGGCCCCCATCTACAACCTTTGAAGGGACATTTAGCTTAAAATATCTTTGGAAAGCGTTTGGGCTATATGCTATGCTTCAACAAGTCTTAAGGTTTTAGAAGGAAGTTCTTCTATTTTTGAAAAAAATGAGGTGCCTTCTACTTGTCGAAGACCTTCTGAGAAATCGGTGTACTAAAACAATATTTCTGTGGACTCTTCTAGCTTTGGAAAGTCCTAGAAAATCTTTAATCTTTAATAGATACCGCGAAGACTTTCTAAGCAAACCAGAATTCTGGAGGTTTTTCTAGCTGTTGTTGATCTAATGAAAGATATTCCAACTGAAGATTACCTCTGTAAGATTAAATTATTATTATAGAAGACCTTTTTAAGGATTTTTCGTAACAGAATACCTTTTAAAGGATTCTTATAAAAAGACAACCTTCTGGAGCCCACCCATTGTCGGAAGATTCTCCAGTATTTTATATATTCAAGTATTTTATGTATTGAAGCACCTTTAGAGGCCTTCCATTGACAGAGGACGTTCCAGATGTCTTCTAGCTATATAAGAGGTTGTCGAGAGGCCTTCTATAGGTAAGGGTCTTCCCAGAGGTATTTTATAGATATCAGATATTCTATATGCAAGAGAATTTCTATAGGCCTTCCAAAAGACTGCTTTAGCTAAAAGACCTTTTCATACATTAAAGACTTTTCAGAGACCTCCCGGAAGTTTTCTACAAGCGGATCTACTTTTTCTTCGACGACAGAATACTTCCAAGATTCTTGTTGTTTTAGAAGAAAGGTGTTCTATTTATAAAAAGGCTTTGAAAAGACGTCTAGAGACCTCACGGAAGTTTTCTACAATCGGATCTTCTTCTTCTACGAGAGAATACACAAGGAACCTTGTTGTGTTAGATGGAAGGTCTTCTATTTATTAGAGGGCTTTGTAAAGAAGTCTACCTGTAGAAAACCCTCTAGGAAATC